GTTCCCTTAAAAGACTTAACGTTACGAATCACAGGAGGAATGCATATGCTTAGATTTCCAACAAGAGCAATTTGTGTTCCAAGTAACTGCTCTGATGCAGATGCTGGTTATCTGATGAATCAACTACAGTATCCCAGCGTCACTATAAAATCTCTGATGTGTCAAACTAAAGAGGAGGTTTATGAGCCATTGGATAGCAATGCGTATGTAGGAATGTGAGTATACACTATTGAATTCGATGGGTTATAATGTAGATAAATGACTAGTATTTTTGTTGAAGGCAATATTGTATAAAATATACAATAAAATATGCCATGTTGTGGAAACGTGCTCTTGTATCTTTTATTGGAGAGAAAAGTTTGGCCAATATGACACAAAAAGGCATACAAGGGCTCTATTTGTTTTTATCGAGATAACAATTGAATTGAATTTGTTGTCTTTTTAATTTTACCATAATAGCCTGTAGTCTAATAAAGTTTTTATCTTTTCTGGCAACATAGTTCCTTGAATTTTTTGCTTTTTTATATGAATTCTAGCAACTACAAAGTTGACAACTTTTAAATTTCTCAGGTTTTTGTCATCTTTTCTTGGATTTGCTTTTGGAAAATGTTAATCTCCTTGGGTGATATTAAAGAATGCATTAGTCTCACTTCATTTACTTAATGATCAATTTAGATTTGCACTGCCAGGGACGATAATGTTTCCTTTGTCATTTTCGGCAGTGATATTTGCCAAATTATTTTCACGGCAGATATCCCTTTTGTTAATTCGATACATCTTTTATATAAGCTCCTAAAAATTTTAGCTCTTAAAAGATATTTTTATCGAATGGGAAGGTTCATGTTCATCGAAATCCATTTTTTATATTGGTTGGATTTGCTGCTTTACTTTGGCCTACCTGGCAAGTAGCTGGAATGTCATAAATTAAAAAGATACGAATATGATAACGACTGCATCAAGCAGACAGCAACTGCAGACGATAAATTAATACTGCAATATGTTGAATGACTCAAAGATGGAACGATAAAATGCACAATTCTATTTTTTGTTCAAAAATCAAGACTCTCAATTAATAGATATGACTCATGGTTTTCCTTTTTATCTAGAATATATTTTTCTGTTTTAAATACCTTATTGTTCACAATGTATTTAAATACCTTCTTAAAATTGTCCATCCATCTAGAAAGATGCACAAAACATAAAGGGCCTTGCTCTGGAACACCTTCAAGCATCTTTTTCGAGTCAAATCTTTGACCAGAAAGTACCCAGACAGAAGGTAATGAAATTTAATCTACACAGAAAACACTAGCATGAGTAATAAGCTCTTTGCTGAAATCGTCCTTGGTGTTGCCCCCTTTTAGTTATCATTTTCGGCAGTTCTGGTATATTTGTTACTATTTGTAACTTGTTAAAATATATAAAAGAAATGCAAAAAACATACCAGTTTTGTACTTGCATATTCCTTATAAAGTACCTACAACATTATAATTTAAAAAATAAATTAAATAAACAAAGTAATAATTTTACCTACATTTTAAATTTCTTGTTTTTAGATTAATAATAGTGGTAATTGCTCTCGTGGTTATTTTTGCAACAATGTATGATCTTTACTGTCAGAAACATAAAAAAGGTAAGAATCCTATTTTAATAAAATTAATTTCAGAAAGTTATGTAAAACAAAATTGTTAATTATAAATCACAAAATGTACTTCTGCATGACACAGGTAATGCAGCAAACACTGTAACGATTATGTTCTACGCAATGTAGACCTCTATGACTTTGCCAGTGGTCATCTCAGTCGCTTTTCACACGTTAACGTTTTTGTATAATTTAAAGTGCAGTAAGTGAATATTTTAAGTAAGTGCACAAGTTTAAAATTCATCGTGGAGTTCGCCAGGGCGACACCATTTCACCAAAACTGTTTACAACATTATTGGAATATATGTGTAAGCGTGCAAACCTAGACGAAAAGGGCATAAACATAAACGGAGAGCAGCTTAGTCACCTCAGGTTCGCGGACGATATAGTCCTGATAACAGACCGCATAGATCATGCCATCGAAATGTGCGAAAGACTCTACCATGCCTCTACACAAGTGGGTTTAAAGATCAATAACTCAAAAACACAAGTGATGACAAACCTTGTTCTGAGTGAGAACATCAACATAGCTGGAACAAGTATAGAACAAACATCAGCATACAAATATCTGGGACACGAAATTCGCTTAAGTAGAGATAACCAGACCAATGAACTAATACGTAGAATAGGGTTGACATGGGCAGCTTATGGAAAGCTAAGAGATGTTTTCCAATCAGCTCTTCCCATCTGCTTGAAGAGAAAAGTCTTCGATCAATGTGTGCTGCCGGTTCTAACCTATGGTGCGGACACGCTAACACTTACTAAGACGTCCGCAAACAAAATTCGAACAACACAGAGGGCAATGGAACGGTCCATGTTAGGATTAACCCTGAGAGACCGAATACCCAACACAGAATTGCGCCGTAGATCGGGAGTAACCGACGCAATCAAAAGAATATCAACCTGAAAATGGAACTGGGCAGGGCACGTCGCGAGAACGAAGGACGGCAGATGGACAAAACGCATTCTTGAGTGAAGACCCAGACAAGATGCCTTTAGGAATAGAGGACGACCACCAACAAGATGGACGGATGACCTGAAACGGACACATCAAAATTGGATGCAGGCGGCTCAGGACAGAAATTTGTGGAGTGAACTACGGGAGGCCTATGTTCAGCAGTGGACGAGTATGGGCTGAATGATGATGATGATGATGAAGTGAATATTTTACAAATGGATACATCACAAGTGACGGCGGTCAGGTAATTTCATTATTATGAGAGGACTATAGTCAGAATACTGTCACCAGTCGCCTACTTATGACACAATCTGAAGCCTCTAGGGCTTACTGTCGATACCAGGTCACCGGTACACCGGTAACTACAGTCAATGATCAGGTTTGGGTTGACGACGTGTAACGACAGATAGGGGCGATCCAGTATTGTCCTAAGTGTCCTGCAGAATCAGCACGCGACAGGAGTTGAGCTTCAACAATCCTTGAGCAATGTTTGAGGTGCAACCGTTACTCAGTGGACAGTTAGAAGAAGACTTAAGGCTGCCACTCTTACTTCCAGACTAGCTTAAACGGGAACCAAATAGAACGCATGTCAGATAAAAGCTCGACTTTTCTAAAGGAAAAACTTTTCCTTTAGAAGGAAAAACGGAGTTTGTGTTCATGCTCCGTGGTGGTCACGGAGAGGGTTTGACAACAGATCGTTACATTACGGATATTTTATAATTAAAGACTATATTGACTTGACGCAATGGAGACTGGTCTCCACTGTGAGGCTAATCATTATAACACGGGCATATTGGGCATAATGTGATAATGTGAAGACTGATAATGTAAGATGTACCCCACTAAATCGCCATAAAACATTAATATACCCAGATACATAATACTATTAGCCAAGATAACTCACCTCGTGAATAGCCTTCCTTAACAAATTCTTTAAAAAACTCTCAAAACTGGATGCAACTCTTAAGCTTCGAACAACACACGCCGTAATAACTAGATAATATTAACTGAGAGAGATGATATCTAGACCAAATATACAGCAATGATGCCAAATTTCAATGCAAATAAATTTGATTCCTGATAGTTTCTGAAAATCTTAATATTTCAGCTTTTGTGAGAGTGGCCAATTACTAGTGACCGGCTAACAACTGTACCCGTTACCATAGTCAGAAAATATAACTAATTTTACTTTGAGTCTATTTTTTTGCTTGCGAGTATATATTGCATTGTATTCCAGAATAAACAAAAATAAATTAATCTTAACAATTTTTTTAGAAAAGGGCAAAGCAGTTTTGGTAGCTTTTTCGATATATACTAATGGTAAAAAGCTTCTTCAAACACATAACAATCGAACATCATCTCTTGATTGTTTAGATGGAATTAGAGTACTGAGTATGACATGGGTCATGACTTTTCACATGTATGTAAAATACATAGCAGCGCCAGTTTTTAATTCAAAAGAATCAATACAGGTAAATTTATATAACTAATACTTATTTAGAGATACCTTTTGCCCTGCCCTTCATGCCACATGAAATAGGTACCTTCTTTATCCCAGGCATTGAAAACAGTGAAGTTGAATATTGATAGTTTACGTTTATAAGAAAGAAATAAAAAATAATAAAGATAAATTACCATGTGGACCATTAAGTATTTTCTGAAAATCTAATGTAACTGTTAATATTTTTTCCTTTAAGGTTTTAGCTTAGTGTTTATTAAAGCAGTTTCTTTCACACGTGAGATTTTTACTATGTAGATGTGATTCATAAATCTGTGTTTGAAATTGCTTGGTTTAGATTTGTTTTTTTAATGTGACGTTCATGACATTGGTTCTTTTTGGGAACGGAAAAACAATTTAAAATTAACAATATCACGATATTGCTTTTCAGTATTAGCTATAGAAGAGTATACCTGTTCGTCAACCCATTGCTTGTATAAATCAAATAAGCGATGAAAATTCAAATCACTATCCAAATAAAGATTATCACTTCTACTTCGTGTATAATGAGATTTTGTGGGTTGAATAGACCTAATGTAATCACAAACTTCTTCGGTTATCGCCTTATGATGAATATGATGTGTGATGTGAATATGATATGATCTGTGTATATAAAACCGTAGGTATATATAGTAACATCTAGTTTTTCCAAAGTAATGTAGACATACTGTTCACTTATAGAAAAAGTATATAAAAACGTCTTTTTAGAAACAGATATATTCGTCCTATCACCTCTCTTATAACAACATATACGTTACTGGAAAAATACCCCAAAGCTGGTTAAAGTCGACCTTCGTGACCATGCCAAAAAAAAGTAAATGCCAAGACATGCGAAGACTACAGAACAATTAGCCTAATGAGTCACTTACTTAAAACATTCTTGAAAGTGATACACGGCAGATTATATAAAATAATGCGAAGAGCAAGTATCAAGGACGCAAATGTTTATGCAAAGATGCAGGGATGTTAACTGTGATGTGTATACTTGTTTTATCGATTACAAAAAGGCATTGAATAGAGTAAAGCATGATAAACTTACAAACATCTTGAAAGACGTGGGGTTAGATGATAGGGACTTGAGAATCATCTATAATTTATATTACAACCAAACAGCCAATATTAAAGTGGTTGACCAATTGACAGAGGCAGTCTCCATAGATAGAGGTGTTAAGTACGGACCTGCTCGCGCACATTATAGTTTAAAACCTGCAAATTGTGCGCCTGCGTCACGATCCACCACGAACAGCCGAGTGCGAGCGAGAGACGGGGCGGTTTACGCCGGGAGGGAGACAAGCCGAGGAGAGATCGACGCCAACCCTGCTTGTGGATAAAGACATTTTTAAATTATACATTTAAGTTATTCTTGTACAGTTAGTTTGTTGTTTATAGTGTTTATTTAATAAAATTATACGTGAAATTCTCAAAATACTTCACACACACGCTCATACATGGTCCTTCCAGCAAGAATGAATAATTATTACCAGCTACCAGCAAGATTATAAAGAAAAGATCTTTATTCCGCCGCCATACGACGCCATATTGCCGTCCTACAACCCCACGAGGCTGCATTTTACACTAAAACTGGATAAAACAGGTCAGTCCATTCCTTTTATTTACCACTTTTAAAACATTTACGATCTCTATTTGATTTATTTAACATGGTTTTCTAACCAAATTAATACATTTCATTATTTCGAATAGGGATATCATTTACATCAAATATCTTACCTACTCTCGTATTCGTTGTGAATGTGCTAAACTGATTTTATTATACCAAAATTTAACTAATACAATCGTTAATACATACCTACATAATATTTTTAATAACTGAAACATTTATCGCCATTGTCTCTACTTAAATGAAACATATTTTTTATTTACCTTTACAATCATAGTTCATTACCATTTTATAAAAGCTTACTTAGATATTTATTTTTAAACAACAAACATATTTTCCTAATTTAAACCTGTATAAGTACATTACATACATTACACTTCATCCATTATCTAAACAAACATACATACTTTTTTCATTATTTTACATCTCCATACATTTAATCATACTATTACAGAATGTCTGGTCTAAACAAAACTAAGCGAATAGCCGCTAAAAGTGCTCTTACACGCTTCACAACATACTTTAGAAGCATCGAACATACTGATACTATAGACATCGTAGACTTGGAAAATCGTTTATCTAAAGCCAAAGAGCTTTTAGAGGTTTTTAATGAGGCTCAACTGCTTATTGAAACTAATGACCCTGACTGTGAGATAAACTATGACACAATACATGCTATTGAAAGACAGTCTTTTGAAGATAAATATTTTAAAATAATATCTGACACTAAAAACTTATTTCATCTAGACAACCTACTGAATTATCTGATTCACGCAGTGTCAATAGTTCAATAGCAGCTAGTCCTACAAATACAAGCAACATTAAATTACCTTCGTTAAATCTACCTACCTTTGATGGAAACGTTTGATCAATGGCTTTTCTTTCGCGACAGTTTTAATTATATTATTAATGATAACACGCCACTTTCAAATGTACAAAAGTTTCATTACTTACGTCTTTCTTTACGCGGCATAGCTGCCGAAACTATCAAATCTTTACAAGTCTGTGATGCTAATTATGATATTGCTTGGGCTTTACTAATTGAAAGATTCGAAAATAAACAATTACTAGTAAATAATCATATTAAAGCCATTTTTAATTTACCGGTTATTACAAAAGAGTCAAATCAAGGTCTCAGACAACTTCTAGACAACATTCAAAAACATTTACGCGCATTAGAAGTTTTGCAACGCCCTACACAACACTGGGATGATTTGATTATTTATTTATTATCAACGAAATTCGACAACTCAACAAGACGGTGTTGGGAATCACAAAATTGTACAGGCGACGTACCAATTTTGGACGATTTATTAAAGTTTTTAAAGGAACGATGTCGTATTTTAGAATCATTAGACAGCTATAATGATAATAAACAGGACCCAAATCCACCCCGTCATAAACATTACAAGACTGACACGAGATCTTTTGTCTCTAGCACAGAAAACAGGTTAAAATGTATTTTTTTGCAATAAAGAACATAAAATATATTATTGTCCTGACTTTTTAAAACTAAATCCTACTAATAGGTTAAATAATGCAAAACGTTTACGTTTATGCATTAATTGCCTTGGCACAGGCCATCCTACTAAGGATTGTCGTTCTGCTGGTTGCAGAAAATGTGGAAAGATACACCACACCATGTTACACTTTGAAAACTCACAATCTTCAAATTCTCTTATCACGGAAAACAACTCTTCGCCTCAAACTTCATTATCTTCTAATAATCCAAACACTAGTCTACAGTCTAATGAATCTTCTTCTACCTCGACCTTTTCTTCAACTCATCATATCAGTTCAACTATCCACACTCCTGTTAAACCATATATTTTACTTTCAACTGCTGTTGTCAACGTATTTGATAAGTTCGGCAACTTACATAAATGTAGAGTACTATTGGACAATGGAAGTCAATCCAATTTTGTAACTGAGAAACTTTGTAATATTTTACAACTTTCAAAGGAAAAAATTAACACTTCGATCTCGGGAGTTAATCAATTAACTCACAGTATTAACTTCCGAAGTACACTAACATTTAAATCACATATCAACAATTTTTCTAGAAAGATATCCTGTCTAGTTTTGCCCAAAATTACGGGGAAGTTGCCCTATACACACGTCAATCGTTCTCAGCTCAATATTCCAACAAATTTACTTCTAGCTGACCAGAATTTTGAAAAACCTGGTCCAGTAGATCTTCTTATTGGCGCTGATACATTCTGGGATATTTTAAGCGTAGGACAAATAAAACTTGGTCCTGGTTTACCTATCATTCAAAAAACCACTCTTGGTTGGATAATCTCTGGCCCCATTCCAACAAAGATTCAACATCACTCCCAACAAAATTGTTACTTTTCTTCCACAAGTCAATTAGATGTACAGCTCACAAAGTTTTGGGAACTAGAGGAATGTCTTAAAACCAAGTTTGTTTCCGAAGAAGACAACTATTGTGAAAATCACTTTAAGCAACACATTTCTCGCCATTGTGATGGTCGTTTTATCACTACTCTTCCTCTAAAGGAATCTCCATCAATCTTAGGGGATTCTTAAACTTCTGCTAAAACACGTTTTCTGAACTTAGAGAGAAAACTTGAAAACAATATTCAATTAAAATCAGAATATCATAACTTTATACTTGAGTACATTAAACTTGGCCACATGTCCCTAACACGGGACACTGACGATAATTCTGGATTCTTTTTACCTCATCATTGTGTTTTCAAGGAATCATCAACCAGCACAAAATTAAGAGTTGTATTTGACGGTAGTGCAAAAACTACCACAGGCTACTCATTAAATGACATAATGTATGTCGGCCCTCACTTACAAGATAACTTATTCTACATTTTACTTAGATTTCGGCAACATAAATTTGTACTAGGGGCAGATATCACTAAAATGTATCGTCAAGTTTTCATAACGCCAGAACAACGTTACCTTCAAAAGATCCTTTGGAGATTTAATACAAATGATGAGATTTCTGTCTACACATTAAACACTGTTACATATGGCACAGCGTCAGCAGCATTTCTTGCCATTAGGTCTCTTCATGAAATTGCCTACCGACATATTTTCGAACACCCAAAGGTTTCTTCCATCATTTTACATGACTTTTATGTAGATGACTTACTAACTGGCTGCGACACATCTGAAGAACTCAGAGAAATCAAGGAAACCATGTCAAACTTATTGTCTTCTTACGGTTTTCCCCTAAGAAAATGGACTACTAATGATTCGTCTTTACAAATTCATTCTGATCCTGAATTCCTATCTATTGGTTCTGACGAACACAATAAAACACTAGGATTACTCTGGAATCCGTCTTCTGATTCCCTGCAATATTCTATAAATATCTC